ACTCTTTTATAGGAAATGATGGAATCAATATCTAAACGCAGTGTTAAAGAACGAAGAAAAATACGCACATTTAAACAGTCGTGTTGACATACTCCAAAAGTTAACCGCAAAGAACCTGTCCCCACGTTCGCAAATTGTTTAGCACCCTTGGATACGCTAAGTCGCCGAATTCATCAAACGTCCAGCCATTTCACCGCACTGGCAAAAATCTTGTTCAATGCCGAATCCACGGCACGGGTTTCCGTATCGAGGGGAACGAAATCGGAAACAGTAACCTAACTTTTAACGCATCACTGCGAACGACTGACCGACCCTTGGAGTATCAGATATCTCGAACGTCGGACTGGCCGGAGTGTCAGTATCCCGTGTAACGAAAGAGCCCCGTAGGGTGTCTCGGTAGCTGTCGGACGAAACGCGCCTAATTTCACGACCTTTTTCACGCACGATTGGTCACCTTCGCTTTTCACGGGTCACAATAGGAAACAAGCTGTTGAGCACAACAAGGCTATCGACCGTAAACTGTCATCCTCGATGATGAGCCCCGACCGTAATGGTGTAGTTAAGCGCTATTTAGGTCAGAACAGAGGGGGACGTGTTTCAGGGTGGCGCGAGAGTCGAGTGTCGCTTACCCATTCGATACGCGTAGGGTCCGGTCGACTGTAGAGCCGTGCAGTTCTGAAGGGGATACGGCTTCCCGGCCACGATGATCTGAAAAAGACAAGGCGTCTTCTGCTCCCCTATACGGTTCTTGGCCCAGCACGCGACCGTCCCATAGTCCATGTCGTTCTCCGGCGTGTAATTCAGCCTGGAGCCGTGCCAGTGGCTCGTGATCAGGCTCAGAGGCTTGACCTGCGTGAATCTATTGGCCGGCACGTTCATCAGCTCCCCGGAATTGTTGAACGTCCAGTGGAAAGTCGATGGCGGCGGTTTCGATTGCACGCCGCAGACCAGCGAGATTGTCTCGTGCTTCAGGGCGCCGACCACTTGAGTGGAAGAGCCGTCCTTGCAGATTGGTGCGTCTGAAAATGTGACAGGGAACGGCCCGGGACTGTCAACCCTGGTGCACTTCTTCGACACCTCGTTCCGAGGAAATGATAAATGATAGCGGAGAGGATGCGGGCTGCCGAATTTTGTCTACTCGAAGGCTTTACTGTTTGTAGAGTTGGTGTATCGAGAAGAAAAGTACGTCGAAAGTGTAATAACTTTATGACCTAGGTGAGTTGAATACAGGGTGTCTCGCCTAAATTGAGCATTTTCATCCCTTCGCACTTGGACGTACTCTATCGGGAGACGAGACAATTAGGGTGCTTCAAAATTAAGCATTTTCTTTCATAAAATCTGTACTGATGCAATTTTGTACCAAATTCTATACAAACGGAGTGAATATTCTCAAGGTTATATCATTTCGTATTTTATTTGAAACGCTCCCTATTAATGCACGAATAAAATATGTTGCAGTTATCCGTGGATGATTTGTGGAAATTTGTCCGAGTGCAAAGGGTTCCGAGTGGAATTGATAATAAAATAATATGTCAGAATAAAATGGTTTGGATGAGCATGTATACTAATAAGTCATTTTTCATAAAATCACATTATTCGCAATTTCATGTTCATCGATGTCTTTTTTTCATATAAGACTGAATCATTTTCGTTACGAATGGACCGATGAAAATTGATTTGTTAAACATAGTGCAATTGCAAAAGGTAATGTCACTATGAAACATAAAATAAAGACACTGACAAAAATCAGATGTCGTTGCTTTAAAGTGCCCCGAAATTCTATCACTAATAAGAAGAAAAATAATAGAAATGAACCTAATACTGACAAACTTAACCCTTCGTAGCGTGAATATTGATTTGGGAGAGTGAGAGGGAAATACGACTATCTAGAAGCAAGTTAATTTCCTGACCACTGACTCTGAAATAAAGCCACGCTATCTGAGTATTCTTCAGTTCAAAACGATTTTCACTTCTCATTTTTTAAAAACATCCTTTCACTATCCATTTGAAAATTTTAAAAATTATTATGTTGGTAATTTCTTTTTACAAATATACAAATGTAGTGTATTCTCAAAAATAGAGGTTGATATGAACTTATTGTGAACATCGAATACTTTTTCTAAATATTTCATTGATCATATATTTCAGTAGATCTGAAAGCGTTTATGTTCGTTTTGTTAACCCTGGCGGATTTTTTCCGAGTCTTTTTGGACCCAGAGCTCGAGGCCTGACTCGACCGTTTGTAACTTGTTGTCTGCCGTTTGTTTAAAAAAAGAGTACGGTAAAATAATAGTAATAATAATAGTAATAATAATGGTAATAATAATAATAATAATGACAATAATAATAATAATAATGACAATAATAATAGTAATAATAATGGCAATAATAATAGTAGTAGTAATAATAATAATAATGGCAATAATAATAGTAATAATAATAATAATAATAATGGTAATAATAATAGTAATAATAATGATAATAATAATGATAATGATAATGGCAATAATAATAGTAATAATAATGGCAATAATAATAGTAATAATAATAATGACGATGATGACAACAAAATTTTAGTTCAAAATGTTTGTATACATAAGGACCCAATTGTGGAGCTTAATGTTTCATGATTCTATTTAGTCATTGTTCTGGTAATGAAAGGGAGACCCTCTAATATTAAGTACTCACACATTATCTCGAGTTTTACAGGCCCGCTTGTCGATTTGCCTTCGATATTGGTTCCCATGCAGGAATATTCACCGGCAGAATTTCTGGTCACGCGTTGCAAAACCAGAGATTGCCCGCTGGGAAGAAAAATTCCAGCTGTCGTGTTCTGATGCAATTCTTTACCGTCCTTGAACCAGGCCAGCTTATAGGCGTCTGGATTTGCTTGAACGTCGCATTCGAAGTAGACATCGTCGCCTTCGTTTATATGGTTCGCCCTTAAACTCGAACCTAGCTTGATTGTCACTATTGGTGCATCTACAAGCAATAATTTAATCGCACATCGTAGACAATGAGACAACGGGGCACTCTTAACAGCCGAATCTCGAACAAAACGAAATTCAAATAATCAGTTTACCTAGAATCAATAAAATTTTAATTTTAACCTTTTAGGTACGGCTGAATTCTGCGCGAGGCTATTTCT